TTTTTTTTCAGGTATCAGGAATTGAACTCACGACCTTGCACTTGCCAGGCAAGCGCTGTGCCACTGAGCTAAATCCCCAGCCCCTGGGCTACATATTGAGACCCTGTTTCAGAAACAAAAACAACAGACAAACAAACCACAGCATGGTAGGCTGCACTCAGTGGACCGGATATCAGACTTAGGGTTTAGCCTCAGCTCTCAGGAAATACTCTAACACAGCAGACCTCAGTTTTCTCCATATTTAAGAGGGGGATGCTGCTGTCGCTCCTGTAGGTTTGTGCAGGTCCTTGAGGTTAGAGTCAATATCAGGGAGTTGCCAGGTCCACCGAGCCAATGGAGGAGCTCATCCTCCCCTCGTCACACAGAGGGCGCAGCGGAAAGAGGCTGCTGCTTGTGCTTGGGGTGTTGCCCCCCCTTAAAAATTCAAACTTGTTAAAAAAAAAAAAGAGAAAGATTTCTCTCTCCTTTTTTTTTTTTTGGAGGGGGGTGAACAGGGTAGAGAGAGCCCTTCCTGATCTTCATCAAGGCCCAGGAAGTTTGTATTTGTAATCCCATGAAAAGTTATTGGAATTCTAGTGAGTTAATCCCAATCTACCACTTCCAGTGCCATCCATGGCAAGAACAAAGACACTGAGGCGTATCTGTAGTTATGGGAGCCAAGGGGTCCTAACTCCAGCCACAATGATGGCCATCCAGAACAAAGGCCTCGACCCAAGGCCAAACTTAGGTTTTATTCATTCATGAAGAAGGGAGGGGCTTGAGGATGAGTGACTGTGAGAACCGTGGGAAGTAGGTGAGCGCCGTGAGCTGGGCTGGATAGGAGGCCTGAAATCACCTCTGCAAATGCAGAGAGAAGGATACACAGAAAGAGTAACCTGCACAACACAATGGAGATAGCATCTGATGTTTTGGGGTCGGTGCTTCAGCTCTGATGTGTAATCCTTCAAGCCCCAGGAAGTCACAGCCTCTATCCCAGCCAACAGTGTGGATCAGTGGCTCTACAACCCACCTTATCCCAGCTCAGGCTCACTCGTGGGAACAACTGGGGTCTGGAGAAACACGCCTGCCATTTTCAAAGACTACCATCTTGGCTAGACTGATATGCATTGCTTAAAGCTAATTGATGGGCTAAGGAAAGGGTCTAGCCAGCTCTGTACATGTCAGTACGTGGAAATAGGGTCAGGCTCAGCCTGACAAAATGGAGACAATTGCTCCTCCTTCAAGGAGAGTCCCGTGGGTGGTCCTCCACAACAGGGTCTCACTTGTAATTCAGGCTGATCTTGAACTCACTATGTAGCCCAGGCTGGCCTTGAACTCATGGCAATCTTCCTGCTTCAGCCTCCCAAGTACTAAGATTACTGGTGTGCACCACCATGCCCAGCTGGCAAGTTTGAATTTAATGTCTATGAAAATTTTCACAGCTTCCTACCACTGCCCCTCCCAAGCTCCTGCCCCAAAAAGAGTTCAGTTTAGAAACAGTAGCTGTCTTCCTTGGACCACCTAAGCTTGAGTCCATGAGGCAAGATGTGCTCCATACAGCTTCTGTATAGCAAGGCTCTGGTCTGCCATGGAAGGCGGTTTCCTGTGCCTGAATCCTTCTTCTCCCACTCACCAGGGTCATCCCTCATCACTTCCCAGCCCCTGCACCCATGGCAGTCACTGCACCTGCCCGCATCTGAGCACCCTACACCTCACCAAGGGCCGAGACTGACTGTTCACTGAGCTTGCTGTGTGTGCCCTGTGGCCACGGGCGCCTCTCTTTGGTCCTGAGTGTAATCCACAGTGCTGAGGCAGGGGCTGGCATTTCTTCGATGCTGGTGGGACACTGAGCTTTTGAAATCTAAGATTTGCTCAAATCTGTGGCTGGAAAGGAGAAACATCAGGATTCTGTCCAACTGTCTGATCTATGCCCATGCGCTCACTGGCTCTGCTGCTGTGATGGTGTCTTAGTTATTTTGCTCATTGCTGAGAGAAAATACCTGATGCCCAAAGTTAAGGGAGAAAGGTTTATTTAGCTCACAGTTGGTAGAGGTTTCAGCCCATAATCTGCTGGCTCCAAGGCAGGGCGGCACATGGCAGAGGAGAAACAGTTCATGGCAGGCAGAAGGCAGCAAAGCAAGCAAGCGACAAACTCCAAGAAACCAGCAGCAAGCCTCTTTCTGTCCCTTATATTGTATCCAGGCTACCCACCCTTAGCGCAGATGGTGCTCACACCCTTAATTCTAGCACCCTTAATCCTAACATTACACCATGAATCAATCACACACTCTAGATCCAGCCATCTCAGCAAAAGCGCCCCTTATGACTGCTTGAGGACGTCTAGACCTAAGCCATTGCAGATGGTCTGGCTGCCCACCTAGCCTTACGTTCAGCCACCTTGGTTCTTCCTGTGTCTGTCCTGTCCTGTATTTCTAGTTAACTGATACATCCGTGAGAGCAAGAACAGGGCCAGGGGAGATACGCCTGCTTGAAAGGCTCATGTGTGATGCATGGTCCTCCTGAACATCTTCCACTGGGGGCCTTATTTGACTCTGCTGCCCTCACTACGAAGCCAGCTTCCTTGGGAACAGCCTACAGACCATGAAGCACATTTCCTGGGGGACAGCCATTGAGTATCATCTTAGCTTCTAGCTTGAGTATTAGAGTATTGGGGTTATTTTCAGTATCGCTCCTGTTACTTAAGTCTGTATTAGCTCCCTTTCCTTCTCTGGACCCTGGTTTCCCCAGGTGTCTAGATAGGATGGGATCTAAAGACTACTGGGTTCTAGGACTGTATTGCCTCCTGAAATACATTGGCTTAATTCAGGGAGTCAATTGCGCAACGTCTATGAGATTTAAAGTAACTGTCACCACTTAGTGGCTGCATAGTACTGCCATGTCCACTTGGCGTGGGGTGGGTTGTGTACGGTCTTTTGTGTCTTTACAGAACCTCATAAGATAGCTGCAGAACTGCTGTTTCACCGATGAGAAAGCTGAGGCTTAGGATGCATTTAATGTCCCATATTAAGCACAGGCTGGGACCTGGGACGGGACCAGGCTCCTTCTGGGCTGAATGAGCAGCACGTCTGGTGGTTTCGCTCAGTCCCGGTGGCCCGATGGCCTCGCTCAGAGACTGGAGGCAACGTGGCAGGCCAGGTGCTGCTAGGTGCACTCGGCAACCCCATGCCCCTTCCCACACAAGGGACAGACCCCAGCGGCTGCCCCTGCAGGTTGTGCACAAGCCTGGCGTTGAGTCCTGCCATGTGAGGATGTGTGGGACTGGGGGACACCAGTGGAAACCTTCTATGGAAATCTCCAGACACGCCTGGAATCCCAGCACTCTCAGAGGCTGAGGCAGGAAGACTGCAAGTTCCAGCCTAGCCTGGACAATGTAATAATTTAGTGACACCTCCTCTCAAAATAAAATTAAAAAGGGACAAGGGTGCAGCTCAGTGTGAAGTCCTTGGCTTCAACCCCCAGCCCCAGACAGGGTGTTGGGATGGGAGGAAGAGCCTGAGGTTTGGAAGTTGACCTGTCTTCTTAGGTACATGTTTCCCACAAGTCATTTTTACTTGACAATTTCAGAATTACAGAGAAGTTGCATAAAATCCCACATATTCTTCACCCAGATTTCCCAGATCTTAAATTTACATTTGCCTTATCCTTTCCCCTTTAAATACATATTTTCTCTAAACCATTTCAGAGGAAGCTGAGGATGGGCTTGACATCCTTTTCCCCAAATATTAAGTGTATTTCTAATTTTTTTGTCTTTTTGAGACAGAGTCTCACTATGTAGTTCAGGCTGACCTTGAGCTCACTTAGTAGCCCAGTTGGCCTCGAACCCACAGGGATCTTCCTGCCTCAGCCTCCTGAGTACTGAGATTACAGGTGTGCATCCCCACACCCAGCCTGCACCAAGTTTGAGGTAAGTCCAGACTATATAGTGATATCCTGTCTCAAAAAAAAAAAAAAAAAAAAAACAAAAAACCAAGAAAAAACAGGCAAACAAAAGCAATAATTTTTTGAGCTAGTTTACATCTCTCTTCCTTTTCCTGGTTTTTTTTTTTTTCAAGTGATCTATTTTGGACTTCTCATATTCTTTATACAATTATCTCATTGAATTTTCTTTTGTCTTTTTTGGTTTTAGACAGGGTCTCACTTTGTAGTAGATCAGGCTGAACTTGAACTCACTTATGTAGCCCAGGCTGGCCTTGAACATGTAGCAATCTTCCTGCCTCAGCCTCCTAAGTGATGGGATAGGGCTGGGGATTTAGCTTAGCGGCACAGCACCTGCCTGGCAAGCGCAAGGTCGTGAGTTCAATTCCCGGTACCGGAAAAAAAAAAAAAAAAAACCAACTAAGTGACGGGATAATAGGAATGCACCACCATGCCCGGCTACCTCATTGAATTTTCACAACAACCTTATGAGATAAATGAGCTCATTTTACACATAAATGTGCTAATTTTACACATAAGGAAAACTGCAGGTAAAAGAGTTTTAAATAGTAACTTGTCCAGCCAGGTCCAGGAGGCTGAGGCAGGAGGATCAAGGCCAGCTCAAACTACATAGTGAAAGCCTTTCTCAAAAAAGAAAAGTAGTACCTTGTCCAAGGTCTCCTAGTCTCTAGCTAAGCGACACATCTGGCTGTCTTCACAAAACAGGTTTTGGTTGACATTGTTACAGAATAAATTCGCTTCAGAATTAGCACAATTGACTGATTGTAGTTTTGGCATTGTCATCATGCAAGAAGCAACAGGTTTGAGACTGTAGGAAGAGAAGGCGTCCTGGGGTCCATGAACTCAAGGACCGGCCAGTTCAACGAGTTTTCAAAACTGTTCTTGGAAAATTTAAGGTCTTGGAAAGTTAAGAGGCGCCTGCAGTTGCTATCACTGTCCACTAGAGGAAAGCCAACGCTGCGCCCGCCAGAGGCGCCTCTCTTGCTTTCCCACAACTCTCTTGTGAGTCTGGGAAAAGAGCCCGCCTCCTGACCCATAAGGCCCTGGACCGGAAGTCCCGCTCTCTCTTCCTGTTCTCCACCATGGCGGTGAGTAGCTTTATACCGGGGTTTGTTTCCCTTTATCCGTCTCCATCCTCTGCTGGTCGATCCCGCAGCGGTTGCGTCGCCCGCCGCCCGAGGACCATCGACCCTCGCGGTGCTGGCTGGGCAGAAACTGGCAGGGCCGTGTCGGTCGAGCGCGCGGGGCGGGACCTTGTCACTCTCCTGGCCTGGGAGCGGGCTTCGGGTAGCAGTCTGGAGGGCCCAGGGGCACGTTGTGTGGCCGCCGTGAGGACAGGTGGAGTGAACGGAGGATGGTTGGACATAGGGTTCGGCTTCTTCCCTGGCCCCGGATACTCGAGGCTAGCCTGGCGGCGGGGATCTTGAGCTGGTTCTTCCGCCTAGGGGAGGCGCCAGCCTGGGGCTCCGGCGCGCAGAGCGCTTCGGAACGGGGTGGGAGACGTCGCGTACAGAACGTGTTCGTTTCCTTGGAAGGTTTTACTCCCAAGCCTGTGCTAACTGGTCGGAGAAAGGGGACGCTCGTCGTCCCCCTACACGCTGAGCGCTTTGAGATGGATGTTCAGTGTGTGCCTGTCCTGAGTGTCCCTTGACAGCGTCCCTGCGGGGGAGGAGGAGGCGGGATCCGGAGCGGATGTCCTCTGGCAGCTGCAGTGATAGCTTTCGAAGTTCTTAGGGTTTTCCTTAGAATTTGGGATGAACAGAAGTAGTTATTGTGCACAGATGGAAAGCAGTAAACGCGCTGGGCTCTCGGGGGTTGACTTGTGCGCTGCTTTGCTGTCCTGTTGCAGCAGGATCAAGGTGAAAAGGAGAACCCCATGCGGGAACTTCGGATCCGCAAGCTCTGCCTTAACATTTGTGTCGGAGAGAGTGGAGACAGATTGACCAGGGCAGCCAAGGTACTGGAGCAGCTCACGGGCCAGACTCCTGTATTCTCCAAAGGTGAGTAATGGCAGGCGTGGAGAGGGCTGGGGTTTTTTTTTAGGTTTTGGTTTTTGGGGGTTTTTTTTTGTCTTCTTTGAGCCAGGGTCTCGCTATGCAGTTTAGGCTGGCCTTGAACTCCCAACGAGCCTCCGCCTCCTGCCTCAGCCTCCCAAGTGCTGAGATTACAGGCGTGCGCCACCACGCCCGGCAAGGGCTGGGGGTTTGTTTTACGTATTAGTTGTTTTTTTACTCACCTGCTGTTGGGCCTGTTCAGGTTGCAGTTGGTGTCTCCTAAAAGCAGTAAATACACGATCTGCCCCAAGAAGTATTTTCTCTGACATTGGTTGTGGCATTGGTATACCATGTTCTCTACAAGTAGACTTTAATACTAGTCCAAGTGATGAGTTTTCAAGGAAGCAGAATATGAGATAGAGTAGGAATGTACTAACGGGCGTTTGCCTTTGTTAGCAGCTGGGCTGTATAGGCTACTTCTGAGAGCAGGGCCATTGACCTACAGAGTTTGCCACTTGTTAGTGTTGTTACTGGGCTGTTTTGGACCTCAGCTTGTTTGCGTACAGGGGGTTACACTTGTTTTTTATTGGTGGAGGATAAAATAAGTTGGTGTATCTTAACAGCAGTGTTCTGTTTTCTTCAGAACACAGTTGTTGTCTTTCTTACTATTTTCTTTCCTCTTCGGCCTATCTGGATTGTGAACTTGCCCTTCCAGAGAGGTTAACATTAGGATTTTAGGTTCTTCACTGCTAAGCATGGCTGCATGGCTTGGAAATGGGAAAATCTGTTTTCTGTGTTACAGATGAGATCGGTAGATAAGAACACCACCACTTAGAGTGTGGACAGGTCCTTAATGCCACTTAGAGTTGTGGGGGAGATGGTGTCCTGGGGAAGACGCACGTGTGATGGGAGTGTGACAGTACCTGCTTCCTTGTTCCCTCCTTTCAGCTAGATACACTGTCAGGTCCTTTGGCATCAGGAGAAACGAAAAGATTGCTGTCCACTGCACAGTCCGTGGGGCCAAGGCAGAAGAAATCCTGGAGAAAGGTCTAAAGGTGAGACTGATCCTATCAGGGTGGCATTGTAAATAATTACAGGGGCAGTGATTAGCTTTAATGTAGTGTTCTTTGGTGGCCAAATACTTACTTGGGTGCTTTTGCTTCTAGAAGCCTTTTCTAATGCTCAGAGTTAAATTATATTTAGTTAGTGTTGCCTGAAAGTTGTAAAGGTACCTGAAAGTCATTTTAATGCCTCATTTTCTCTGCCCTTTAGAAGTTGACAAAGTTCTGTGAAATCTATAATTGGAGTGTGACTGAGTGTAGTGGGGAAATGGATTGTTTTTCCCACCGAGTCACATTGATTTGTTTCTGCTCTGGGGTGTGGAGTGCAGGCAGGTACTGGAGGGGGTGGGGTTTAGGGTGACAAGTAACACGACTGTTGCATTTTTCTCCTAAGGTGCGAGAGTATGAATTAAGGAAAAATAACTTCTCCGATACTGGAAACTTTGGTTTTGGGATCCAGGAGCACATCGATCTGGGCATCAAATATGACCCAAGCATTGGTATCTATGGCCTGGACTTCTATGTGGTATGCATATTTAACCTTTCCCATTCCTGTTTGTGAGGAGAGAGAAACCTGCTATTTCGTTTGTGGTATCTTGATGTTCAGAGCCTGCCTGCCTGCCTGAGGATGAGCCTCGTCTGTGGCAAGACAGACAAGGTCAGCACTGAATAAGATAGGCAGGATCCCTGCTGTTGCGAAGCTTTCTGTCTGTACCCGTCAAGGGCCAGCATGGCTTAAAGATGGGTGATTTCTGAGAGGAAGTAGTACTGGTGCTGTGTTCGGCCTTCAAGTTAGCTGACCGAGGCTGCTCAGTCCTGACTGTTTTCCCCTAGATCCTACGATATGCAGCTTCCATCTGAGCACATAGGCCCAATTTTGAGTGATGGCAGTTGTATCCTCAGGAGGGCATTTTGATGTACAAAAGATACTTTACTTTTTTTTTTTTTTTTTAAACTATTAACTGTAGTGCTTTTGGTTCGTCCATAAAAGTAAATACCCAAAAAGGCAAAAGGCTTAACTAATGTGGAACTGAAGTGATGTTGGCACCCTCGTTAGATTCACATACCCAAAAATAGTGGGAATTGGGTACTCAGTTCAGAGGCAGCAGACCTTGTGAAGCACTGTTAAGCTGAAGCAGTAAGAAAAACTTTTTTTTCTGTGCCTCTCAGAATTTACAATTTTTTACACTGCACGTGTTTCAGTAACTTTTTTTTTTTGTACCAGGAATCAAACTGATGACCTCAGGCTTGCCAGACAAGCACTTATGCCACTGAGCTATATCCCCAGCCCTTCAATAACTTTTTTTTTTTTCCCCCTCCGGTACCGGGAACCAAACTCACAACCTTGCGCTTGCCAGGCAGGCGCTGTGCCGCTGAGCTAAACCCCCAACCCCCAATAACATTTTTTTGCAATAAAATTTTTGATGTTATTTTTAAAAGGAAGTGTGGTGGAAATTGGGCGTGGTGGTGGGAGATTCACAAAATCATTGGGAATTAGATAGGGAAGGGGAAAGGGGCCATTTTTCAGCCTACAAAATCTGTACATGGTGGTGTGCTTCCTGGAATGCTAGAGACTGCTGTCAGTCCCTCAGCTCCTGGGTCTCACTCCAGTCTTGGGTTGTAGGTGACTCTTGAAGATCAGTGTCCCATGTGTGAGTCCTGTCTGTCTGCTCCTGCCTCCGAGCTGGGTGGGTGACTGTTGGTTGTTCCTGGGACAGGTGCTGGGTAGGCCAGGTTTCAGCATCGCAGACAAGAAGCGCAGGACAGGCTGCATTGGGGCCAAACACAGAATCAGCAAAGAGGAGGCCATGCGCTGGTTCCAGCAGAAGGTAAAGCTGCTTTATCTCGAGCACGGTGGTGGTACGTGGTGTTGGTGAACGGAGTTGGGATTTGGGGGTGCAGAATGTAGTACTGTTTGGCAGATAGTGTCTTCTAGAGGAGTTGGGCAGCTTGGCAAATGGGTCTTCCAGGGTTGGTGGTTTAATTGAGTAACCAGCGCTAAGAACAAAGGTAGCTGGAAGGGGACGAATTCGGCTTTAAAGGAGACCCCCTTTCTCAGGTGATAGTGCAGTTGAGCACAGTGTAATGATTGTTAAGACCAGGCAGCTCTTCATTCAGTCCAGAAGCAAAGTGGGGCTCAGAGCTGAAGTTCATGCATCAGATTTGAATTCTGCAAAGTTTGCCTTTGCTGCAATCATTGTTGTTGCCTCTTGTTCTGAAAAATAAAATCTCTTCTTTTTCAGTATGATGGGATCATCCTTCCTGGCAAGTAAATTCCCGTTTCTGTCCAAAAGGCCAATAAAATGTTTTCAGTGAAATGTGCATTATTGTTGTGTGTTTTGTGAAAGGAGTCTGGCCATATTCAAGTCCTTGGATCTCCCGCCACTTAAAGCTTCAGTGCAAATAGCTGGTAACAACCCTGTGGTCATCTAGATACCTGTGTTTCCTGGCAGATCGCAGTTGAAGCACTGCCTGTGCAGACCCACGCCCTCGTTAATGTGCTCTGCTGCCGTTTTCTGTGAGCTGATTTTATGGGGGAGGGTATGGTTGGGTTAGGTTTGATTTAGTGTTGATTACGGACAGGATGCAGTATTCCCATGTTCCAGGAGCTCCCTTTTATTCAGTCATCTGGTACACAAATGAAGGGAACGAGCTTTGATACGACACTTGAGATTACATTTTAGCTTAATTGTTCAGACTCCTGTTGCCTTTAAAATGAGGTTGCTGAGAGGCAGAATAATGGGCTAAGAGGACAGTTGGGATTTGATTCTCAGTTTTACTGTAGCTATGAGTAGCTGTATTACCTTGAGCGAAGCTAGGAATCTGCCTCGATTTCATTATCAATCTAGAGGCGATAATGTTTCTTGGAAGGTTAGATGGTTTAGAGAAGTGCCAGGCACACAGTAACTGAAAAGGCTGCTCTTCTGTGTTTTGGTATGTGGTGAATTTTACACTTAAAAGGTTGTCTTGCCTTTAGGGTGGAAGTTGATTTTTATTTATTATTTACCTGTAGTCATTTTCCAGTGATCAGAAGTCATGATTTCTCCGATTACTGCACAGTGCCAAGCTATTCACTTAACCATTTTCAATTTTGGGCTAAAATTTTGAGCACGTGTTAATTCCATTTGTTAAATTTACTCATTTGTGACAGTTCAGTTTTATCCTTGGCCTATTTTTAAGTATTTTGTTTATTTATTTGGCTTTTTTCGGGGGAAGGGGTCAGTTGGGACTGGCAGTCACTCAGGACCAGGCACTTGCCGGGCAGGTGCTATGCCGCGGAGCTATAGTGCAGGCCCTTATTTGGTTATTTTGAGATAAGATCTCACATAGTTCAGGCTGGCCTCATTCACAGTGATCCTCCTGCCTCAGCCTCCCAGGTGCTGGGATTGCAGGTTTTATTTCACTTGAAATACAGATATACCTGCCAGGCATGGTGGTGCACACTTGTAATAGGCTAAGCTGGAGGATCGTTGTGAGTTCAAGACCAGCCTGGGCTACAAAGTGAGCTCAAGGCCAGCCTGAGCTACACATCGAGACCCTGTGTCAAAAAGACCAAAAAAAAAAAAAAATAGTTGTAGAAATACAAATATACATTCACTTTTTATTCTTTTCTCTTTTGTGTGTGTGCTGCTGGGGAACCCACAGTTCTAAATGCTAGGCAAGTGCTCTATTGCTGAATTACCTCTTCTGTAACTACAACTGAAATCGACATCTTGGAGAGCAAATTTAGAGATGGAATGCATATGCTAATCTTATCTAAATTAAGCATTCCAGAGATAAAACATGATTAACTATCACCTTCATGCACTCTACTGTGAGCCCTTGCTCTGTATCTCTTTGGCTTATTTATGTCTGTATTGAAGTTTAAATACCTAACTTTCATTTGACCCTGCTATAACGCATACTTCGTTGAATTCCCATTTTAAAGCAACTACCTGGACTCCTGGTTCAGTGGAAAGAGCACTGATGGAAGTTCAGAGATATAACTGGACTTTGTTATTTTTGAAATATTTTTTGGTGATTTAAAAACGGGGTCTTTATGCTGTATAGCTCAGACTGGCCTCAAACTTGTGACCCTCCTGCCTCCGCCTCTGCTGAGTATTGAGATTACAGGTGTATGCCATCATGCTTGTTTTGTAACAGTTTTAGTCCTAGCTGACAAGCAGTGTGGTTTTGGGTGTCATGTACTGTGGGGTGGGGACTGGAGCAGTGTGGGGAGACTTAGCTCACCAGTGGGGACCTGTTCGAGGCTGACTCCACACATGTCCCACTAGACTCAGGATGATGTGTGGGGCGGAGCTGCAGCAGGTGGGAAGATTGGGTCACCTGGGAGTTTCCTGACTCTGGGGCCTCAGCTCAGAAACACCGCATCTGCCTTTTCACAAGACCTGCGGGTAGTATGTATGCACATGTGAGACGGGAGAGTGCAGGATGGCCAAGGAGATTTCTTTTAATAAATTTATGACTTTACCTGCGTGGTTATGTTTTAGGCTATTAAGCATATTGGGAGAGGATCAGTGGTAGGTGACACTGCAATGTCAACTTGTCGGTGGTCTTTGAAGTGAGATAGTGGGCATCTCTATCCCAATAGCAGGCCCAGAAGTGCTGTGCTGCTTTGCTGAGTGAATATTCTGGTCCTGCAGTTACCCTCTGTGCAGAGTTCTCAAACTGAGGCAGTATTGCCCAACTCATCCTGGGGTAATTTGAACATTTGTAGGGCTGGGGCTTTTGATTTTTAAATTATAGCAACTTGGTGCATGCTTGGAGGACAGGAATATGAAAATTCTGTTACTGAGGCTGATGCCACACCGCACAAAGAACAAAGCACTGTGAGAACAGACAGTTACATACGCGAGCTCGCACACATGCGGGCAGCCACCTGTGCACACGAGTAGGTCCCTGTCCTATCTCTCAGGAGGTGTTCTGCTGGTTGAAAACCAGGGAGATAACTGGAGAGGAAGGTGGGAGGGAGTACTCTGTCCATGTAGAGGGGTCCGGTCATAGTAAGTGCAGAGGCCCTACCTTGGGAGGCTCTGGCTGCTCCAGAAGCTAGAAAGTGAATCAGGTTATTGTATTTTGTGCCATTGTGGTATTTTCATTTGTGCGGGATGGCCAGAGGACCAAAGAGGAGGTGGTGGTGATGTCAGTTGCAGTTTCAGGAAGATGTGGTTCAATGGTAGAACACTTTCCTAGCATCACAAGCTCTAGGTTCAGTCTTCTGCAACGCACACACGTACATATGAAGAGAAAGGTGAGTGAAAAGTGAATGTATATATTTCAAATAAAAGTGTGTGACCGGGGACATAGCTCAGTGGCACAAGTGCACGCCTGGCAAGCACAAGGTCCTGAGTTCGACTCCCCGTACAAAAACAAAAGTGTGGAAAAGGGGATATAGCTCAGTGGTAGAGTGCTTGCCTAGCATTCACAAAGCCCTGCATTCAGTCCCCAGTACCAAAAACAGTATGTGTGTGGGTTGTGTGTTAAGTCTGTTTTGAGTGTTTAGAAATTAATCTACAAGGATTATCTTTATGCTAAATAACAAATTCTACATGATAATCCAATACTAAGGATAGTAGGTTCTCTTTCCCCATTAGAAATCAAATAGCAAATGGTTCTGTTGTCTCCTAGGCTTCTTATTTTAACATAATTAACACGTTCGTGGTGGGGCTGAACAGTCATGACTCCCATCGGGCAGCTTATACCACCAGTGGTGCATGCATAGCTGTCCCATGCTGTCCAGAAAGATACTAAGTGGGAACTATAGCTATAGTCATAATTCGAGTTTTTTCCTTCAGCAGGTATGTTTTCATGTCCTTACAGTGACTACACAATTGGTTTTTTTTGTTGGTTTTTTGGGTTTTTTTGGTTTTTCTCCGGTACCGGGAACCGAACTCACGACCTTGCGCTTGCCAGGCAGGCGCTTTTGCCGCTGAGCTAAATCCCCAGCCCCCACAATTGTTTTATAAATGTGTAAGACATCCTATTTCTCAGGAGTTATTCCTGGTCCCCATTCCTTTTCTTTAGTACATCTCTCTGTTCTTTTTGTTTTGTTTTTTTGTCTTTTGAGACAGCATCTTGCTATGTAGTTCGGGCTGGCCTTGAGCTCAATTTGTAGCCCAGGCTGGCTTTGAACTTGCAACAATCCTCCTGCCTCAGCCTCCTGAGTTCTGGGATTACAGATGTGTGCCTCCACTCCCAGCCTTCTATTCTTTAAAAAAAAAAAAATTATAGGACACGAGCTGGACATGGTGGCACACAGCTGTAATTGCAGCACTTGGGAGAATGAAGCAGGAAGAACACGTCGAGTTCAAAGCCAGCCTGAATTATGTAGGGAGACTCATCTTAAAAAGCGGAAGAAATGCAGGATAGATTCCCTTATCTATACAGTGGGCACTTATGCCTGGAGTATCACTTTCATAGACCTGTCCCAGTGGTTCTGTCCTGTTGTCTGTCTAGTAAGAGCCTGTAAGATCCTTGCCAGCTATCTCAGAGCAGTTATATTGTGTGCCGTAGAAAGAACACCAAGCAGGAAAACGGTTGTTCGGGTTCTGATTTTCATGCTGCATTTTGTGCCAAGTACTGTGGGAAGCTGCAGCCTCTCTGCCCCTCAATGGAGCCTGTTACCTTCACCTTCTGCACCTTACCCATTGGCTGGCTGCTCCTGACCTGTTGAATTATCAGGCATTGCAAAGTATACTGGGCGTCTGGTGATTCAGCATCACAGGAGGCTGTCAACAGGGCCTGAGCCCTAAAGGGTTAAGGCTGAGCCTTCTGGGGACCGAGTGAGGTCCGGAGAAACCACCCACAGATAGTTTCAGCTGCAGCCGCTGGGGATCGAGCTGGGGCCTGGGGGTACAGAGCCACTTGGAGAGCAGCTTGTTATGGAAACCACAGTGTGGTTGTCAGAGGGGAGTCCAGTCCAGGCACCTGGGGGCACCAGGGCCACTGAACAGGACTCTTCAGGTGCAGGTGTGGAGAGCTCAGGGAACGAGTGCGGATGGCTTGTGTTTTCACAGATCAGTGAACAAAGTGAGTTGCAGTTGTACCAGTTGGGGACCTTTATGTAACTGGGTCTTAAGATGTTACTTATTTGTGCCGGGGATATAGCTCAGCAGCACAGAGCCAGCCTTGGCAAGCACAGGGTCCTGAGTTTGATTCCCAGTACAAAAAAAAAAAAAAGATGTTACGTATTTATCATTGCTGAGAGAATTTTTTTGATGAGTATGACAGTAGTTACCTGGAACCTGAAAGGAACTTGAAAGACGAAGATACTCAGCTTCTGCACAAACGAAGTTCTCCATCCCCTCAGTCA